AGAGAAGTCTTTATGACCACTTTCGGTCTTGACACAACAACTGGAATGCAGTATAAGCACTTGAAAATAGTGAAAAGTTTTTCGGTACACCATATAATCGCAAAATCTGCCAGAGGGTCACGCGGTTAACACTGTCAAAAGACTTCTTGAAATTAAAAAAATTCATGTCCAATGGATGTCGATACTCAACTCATTGTTCGATGATATGTCGAATAAGGACCACACAAAATGCCTTTTTAGGCAGAGAAAGGAGAACCTCGCGAGTTGGTACACTTGGAGATATTTCTCTTTTTATGAATTCTGACTATAGCGCTCCTTCTCAAATCTTCTGGGACTTTCCCATAATGCAAGCACTTGATAAACAATAGCATTAACTTTTCCAGTACGGGTTGCCCTCCATGCTTCAAAATCTGAAACGTAATTTCTTCCAGCTAGGCTGCCTTATTATTCTTTAGGTTTTTTAATAGCAAGCTTCACTTTTTTCAGGGGTAATATTGCCAATGTGCACCTGAAGCGCATTCTGTGTATCTTCAATATTGAAATCGTATGTGATAGTCAATTCCCTTGATTAAACATTTTTCAAAAGTATTTTATTCATCTCTTCTTCTGTTCATGTTAAGCGACCAAAAGCTTCCCGTTACTCTCTTTTATTGAAAGGCTGGAATTACTTTTCGTCGTCGTTTCATTGACTATGCGATTTACAGTCTCGGAGGTCTGAAGCCTCCTGTGCCTCAGCGTATTCTCGTTCTAACTATTTTTTTTCTTTTTTTTGTGTTTCTGACAACTTTTCTTTACTCGTCTCTCCAGCTCTATGTATCTTTGGTTTTTTTCCTCCATCTCAGTCATTGTTTTAGACTGGTCCCTTTTAAGTATTGCGGCTTTCCTCTCACAAATCAACTTTTACGAGCGATCTTGGATCCACTGGTCTTTCTGTTATTCTCGATGTTTTCCAATGATGTTTTGGGTGCACTCCGCGGTAATGTCACTGAGTTTCTCCCAGAAATCTTCTATATTCGTCATTTTTTCAAGAAGGGCGAAGAGATTGTGCAAATCCACAGTATATGTTTGGTTGGGTTATTTAATTTTTCTATTAAAAACAATGTATTTAGCATGAGATGCTTTCGATTACAATGTTTCAGCGTAATATCCGCCCTAACTTGGTGGTGGTCAGATCCAATATGTGCACTTTTCTCCACTTTTTATTAATACTGTGAGGTTGTCCGGGGTATAGTATACAGTTTTTTATTCGTATACCGCTTACTCGGCAGCTAATCGTAAGACTAGATCTCGGTTGTCAATAAAGACGGTTTTTTAATGGGTGATATAAAGATGCGGAGACTAAACGATCGTAAAATCACAGTCTCTTCCGTCAGGATTTCTGACGCCAGATAATCAATTACGCGGGCTATCACGCGGTTACTTCAAATTAGAAATGTCTATGACGTTCGTGTGACAACGTCAGAATATAGGAAAGACCGGGGCAAGATCGGCATGTTAAGCTTTACTTAAATTTTGTGTAATAAATACTGCTGTAAACTGAAAAAAAGCTTTGCATATTGTCTATTGGAATGTTACCTTACTATAGAACTGGTTAAAATCAGTTTGGAAATAAAAATAATTAAAATAATTACAACTTTACAAGAAGAGAGAAATTGACGAAGTTGCCCCGGGTATAGGGGCAAGATCGGCAACTTCTCTCTTTTTGTAAAGTTGTAATTATTTTAATTATTTTTATTAAAGTTGCCCCTGGTATAGGGCAACAGTAATGGGGCAAGATAAGCACGTATATAAAATTATGTTATTAACAATGTATAAGTTGGAATTCACTATTAAAACAAAAAAATACAAATCCAACACCCATTTAATATTATTACAACGAAATGCAAGTTCAAAGACATATATACATGAATAACAAATGCAAACATGTTTTCATTTATCATCTGTTTGATTTTTATCCTTTGCTTCTAATGTGGCTTTATGTTGCCGATCTTACCCCGCTAGTCATGATTTCGAAACATTAAGTACAACCCTGAGAACAGAATGCCAAGCCACGATCTGGCCACGTGAATAAGTTGAAGTTACATCCTTCTAACAGGAAAAGTAACTTTCGTTATCATGGAATTATAACAAAACCTGCCAATTCAATATAAATGAAAAAAAAAAATATTATATAGAATTCAACGAAAATGAAAATTTGCTTGATAATTCAACTACGCTTGTTGGAGAACAATAAAAACACTACACTCAACAAGCCACCAATAAAACTCAACTGCCTAACCTATAACCAAAGTCTCCTTTTAATTTGTTTAAAAAAAAAGCGCTTGACAAACTTGCCCCGCATGCCGAAGTTGCCCCAGTCTCCCCTATCATAAAAGTGTTAACAGATGAGCGAGTGGAAGTGATTAATAAACCAAATGAAAACCCATGTTGTTATAAACAAATAATGATATTTAATAAAACTAAACTAAAAAGTGAATACATATATAATAAAATTAATTAAAAATATGACGAATGCAGTTACCATGATTCAATTCGAGATTTATCTCGTAGGGTAATTAGATTATCCTACTTAAAGTTATGGTTAACCTATTTACGCTAAATCCAACACTTAGGCACGGGAAGATAGAGTTTACATCGATCTATCATATTATACTACTTTATTAATACTTTTCGTCGTTCAATATATTTATTATGTATGAGGACGATCGTCTATGGCGAATTCAGGGATCTCCCGTGAACTGACGTAAGTTTTATGGCAAGTACTTCTTTCAAGGAACTGCCTGGAGTTGCGGGCAAATTTTCTTCTTCTACTAGTCGCCGGCCTAACTGACAGCCAAGTCTCATGTGCGGTCGCTTCTGACTCAACTTTAAGTTTGTCGTCAGAAAGGAATACAACTTTCTGTCTATAACGAAAGTATTGACTTCTGTTGTTCGAAATAAAATTTCTTAAGATTTACAAAATTTTACTTTTCATTAAAAATTATATCATTATTTCACAAATAAATTCTTCAGAAGAATCCCTCTCAACTTCAGGATTCTCACAATACAAATAAAATCCCTTTCGTTAAAGGTTCATCCATATGGTTATTTCCGGGTCATTTAATTCGCCGATCAGAACCGTTAGGTCATGGTTCGGGATACCATCAAAGACGTCTCGAAGATGCTTATAAAATTCAACTTTTATTGTGTCCTCCGTACTGTTGGTTGGCGCATAAACCTGCACTACAGTCGCTTTGGCGTGTCCATAAGTGATGCAAACTGTAATAATCTGATTGATAAAAGGCCTTCATCCAATCAGTACTTTCGTCGTGAGTTCACTTAGAATAAGTCCTACTCCACGCTCGTGCTTGTCTTAATCTGGTCTTGGCTTGTGATCACTAAGGATTCGGCTGTTTATCGTCCATCTAACCCGACTGACACCAAGGATGTCCAACCGATTTTTATCGAATGTTCGTAATAGCTGACGAGTCTTCCACTCTGATATAGCGTACGCTAGATCGGATAGCGAAGAAGTCAAGGTGGCAGCCTACCGCTCTGGAGGACTCGGAATCGATCAGTTTCAGTCAAAAAATTCCTGAAGATTTTTCGACCCACACAGATCGATTCTGGGGAGTGATCCGTTCAGATATGTCGGGCCCAGTCATTCGCCATAATGGTCCTGTTAAAAGAGGCCCTCTTAGTGCTCAAAACGCGGAAAAAGTTACAAAAAGAAAATATGTATATATATATATATTTATATTTATATAGCGTATGCATATTCCACGTTCCAATTTTCGTAATATTTCTGGCAAAAAATATCGTTTCTGACATTGGATATCAGACACCATTGCCGGTTTTCTCTGACCCCATCATAATATTTAGAGTGGAACTTCAGCTCATTCGATCGAAATTTCTATTTAATCTTGCTTCGATAAAATACTTCGATAAAATTAACTGAAAATCTTAGATTAAATATGAGGCCAAATATATCTGGCATATGCGAAACAAACATTTCGAGAAAAAATCGAATTACAAAAATGTTTTCATTTATAAGACTCTTAAACCTTATATATCATTAATTACTGTAAACGTGAAGCAGGTTCTTTGAGCAAAACTCTGCATGAGTTTAAATCAACCACACGATCTGTAAACCTAATTTTTTGCAAATGTGTACAACGCGACAAGTTCGACGACGTCAACCATTCCGGAATTTTGAAATTCGAATTATGAACCGAGATATTCGAAGTCAAAGATCGCAATTTAAAGCTCATGGGCCAATCGCAAGTTATAAGCTGGTCACAAGCTATTTGTCTGTACAATTTTTCCGTTCTTGTCAACTTACTTCGAACTCTACGACAATTCTCTATTTTGAATATTACAACGGGTGTTTGAATTGAAAATTATTAAATCGTTTCATTGTGCTCATGCGACGATTATAAAACATTATATCGGAGTCCGTTAAATGTAAAGCTTACTGTACTTTATAATGTCAATTCAACTCATGTATAGTAAATTAAATACATCAGTTTTGTTATGTGTTGACGATTTATAAAGCGTTCTAAGATTATCACAAACTTTATAACAGTGATTACTATGCAATAAACAGAGGCTGTAAAGAAAAAAATAGAATAATATACTGAAATCACTTTACTGTCTTCAATGAAAGAGATTTGAAAAACATGTTGTTTACACTGTGTGTGAAATTACACTTTTGTCGTGATTACACATAAGACTATCGGGCTGTCATATATTTATTTATGTTACTTTCAATTTTTTAAATTACATTTAGTCTAATCGACAATGAAAGGTGCAGAATGTTTAATTTGCTACTGTTGAAAACTACTGTCAAAAATACCATAAGCGATGTTTATGTCATACGTAACAGAAGTAAAAATTTCTATGGGGTTAAACTAAACATTATACGTATAGAGAATTTCTATTGAACAGTAATGATGCAGCATTTCAAGCGTTTATAAATAACGACTAAAAAAGTCGGTTAAGGAATACTTCTTTATAACAAATTAAAATAGTAAAGAAAGCGTGTCGTTTTTAAATGTAAAATGTCCAGAAGTTTTCGTTTGGCATCTCTTCTTATCAAGAACTCCAGTTATTTGAATGATAGAAGAGAAAACAGAGTACAGTCCAATTATCATCTGAAAGTAATGTAGAATGTAATAAATAGAATTTTTTAATAAATATTTCGGTATGAGAATTTTACTTAAACGTATAATTTACAGAAAAAATAAATAAAATGACTAAATTTATGCATTCAGAAAATTTTTGTAAAATTGTCTTAAAAAATTACATAATGATAATACGCGTTATTGTATGTAGACGTATAAAACCAACGTAAAAAAAAACATCCGAATATTAAGTTTCTCAGTTCTACGTTATTTTTGAATACCTATATCTGAACATAAAAATATGCAAGAATATTATATAATATAACGCAGTCTAACATCACTATTTTGCATTTCTTTTAATACGTCACTCGTTAAATTTAAAAACAAAACTAAAAACTGACATTTACAACTAATAATATTTACCCTGAGCAGGAAATTTCTCTTAATGTAGAAAAATCCCCACATCGATAAACCAAAAGGTCTTCCTCCGAATCTCTTTATTAAACAAATAATCTGTAATGATATAATTATTAATATAATCACATTTTATATGTGGAAAATTGGGAAAAAAACAAACTTTATATCTGTATTCCGGTGTGAATAAGCTGGAATTATACTTTCCGATGATGATAAAATTGTCATAGATCTGAAATAAATGAATACATTTATTCATTTATTTAATAAATAAATAAATTAATGTTATGTGCAGTAATTGCAATTTTTAGTCTAAGTATGAATTAAAACTTACAATTGAAGTAAAATATGACAATGCCCACGACACCGTTAATGATCCAATTAGAGACATTACTCCGAATATCGCCATAATCAAGCGAAATATTACATCAGTCTGCACAAACAGAGCAATGTATATAAATAAACAAGTTTGATGGATATAAAACAAATAATAAACAGGAAACAGCGCTTTGTATTTCTCGTTCAATTCTTCAAAACACTCCCAAATTTCCCAAAGTTTCTGCATTACTTCATCAACAAGAGATCGTGTCGATATTTGGGAAATTTGCAAATGAACAGAAATGTTTATCAATCTTTTTCCTAGAAGTAAGCAAAGAATTAGTGCAAACAAAATTATGCAAAGTCCGTGTGACGCAACATAAAAAAACCAAAGTTCGAGTCCGAAAAGGCAAATGAAAGATATTCGAAAATCGTAATGTTCCGATTGAAAAGTACAATATTCCATGTATAAGTTCAACGTGAAGAAACACAGTAGAATAAGAACATACAAATAGAAACAACGAAAAAGATACGGTTCATACTTTTGAACAAATTCTTCTTCTTTCTTGAAATCTCTCATCAAATAATGAATATTAATCTTATTTCTTTTCATAATGCTGAATTGTAAACTTCCGTACAAAGAACAGCACCAAAATATGAATATAACATAAGTTTTATTATTTTCAAATAACATAAAACCTTGAATGCAGTAACTTCTCGGTGTTGCTATCATTGCAGTAAACAATAAAACCATACCCCATAAAAATATTTCGAGTAAATCAAAGTGTAAAAAGTTTTTGCATTTTCCTTGATTTTTTGTTTCGACAATCGCAAGTCTCCATCGTATCCAAAGCGAAAGCTTCCATTACAGAGATCAAAGGTTGAAGTGTTGTTGACACGCAATTTCTATACGACGACTGCATCTCGAATAAATAAAATTTTAGGTCTACTTCGTTGGTCGGTAGGTTATTAAACAGTTATTTAATTGTCTCTTCAGATAAAATATATGGCAGAACGAATTGAATAATATACTATTAACGTAAAATATTTGGTACGTATTATAGTATCTTGAAAGACATTTCTAGTCGTTTCTCTCCAGTTGATGTAAATGTAGAAGTCTCCGCAGATTGTATTTGATTGGTGAATATTAAACAGAGCGTGATGTGACGTTGAGAAATATTAAAACAAATTACGTAACAGAATGGCAAGAGCACGTGCTGCTTAGAAAGAACATATAATCGATGAACTTTGAGATAATTTTACGAGATTAATTTTTATGTAATTTCTAAATAAATTTCTAAAAATATACCGACATCGTCATGACAAGGCTCTATCATATGTCGGGTTTGATTAGATTTATCCATAAATAGTGAAATCGACTAGCTGGTTTGATTAATAAATACAATTGTAGTACTGCTGCATGGAACGCATTAAAGATATAATTGCTGTACAAGTTGACCCCTCTATAACACTGTTGATAATTCCGTTTTATATGAATTCCATGTTGTACGAGTCACTTAGATTTTAGATTGCCAAGCTGTAAACGGCTCACGTATTTGTAAAATATAAGTGTCTCGTACACTCATGGAATTCATATAAAACGCCATAATCGACAGTGTTATTGGGGGGTCAACTGTATGTTCATTATTTAAAATATTGTATAACTTGCAATTAATTGTAAGTACTGCTGCATGGAGCACATTAAAAATATAATTGCTGTATGTTTTTCAGTTCATTATTTAAAATATTGTATAACTATCAGATAAGCCCGGCGTTGCTCTGGCGAAAAGTAACGATAGCGAAGATCAAGATAATTACATTAGAGCCATTTTTATCCGTATTCACAGAATCCAAGAATTAGGTCCACCGTTTTTATAATAATTATAGAATTTTTAGATGGGTCTAAAAATATGTTCGATTTTCGGCAAAAAAAGCAAAAAAAAACTGCATTTGAGCCTGTAAATCTTGCACGCCGCTTTCTCTTAACACTTCCATTGATACTCAACACTTTCATTGTTAACACTTCCATTGTTAAGGAATACACTTCTTTCATTTCTACGTGGTACCCTACTAAATGTGGTAGCCTACTAAAACGCAGTTGAAAACAAAATATTGCATCTAAAATTGTACAATAGAAACCTGTTTCTTCAGGGTAAGCCTTAATTCTCTCCCTCTCCCCTGTGGGAGCAATTTCGAAAAATCCCTTCTTAGTGTGCGTTCTCGTGACGTACCCTAACTGTGTACCAAATTTCAACTTTCACCTCCTAACCGTTTAGGCTCTGCGCTTATTATTATTATGTTGGGTTTAGTGGTTTATACTCGGTTGATACCGGTGGCTGTGTACTATGCCGGACCAGATTCAAGGCATAGCAACCAAAATATAACTAAAATTAAATAAGTGTGTCAGTGTCTGTATTAAGGAATTTCCTAACAATATGGCATGTGTTCAATATAGTGGCCTTCGATAGTGTGATGTATGTATTTCTATTTAATTGTAATGTTCCCAGGCTTTTGTGTAGTGTGTGTGGTATCACACCTACACAGGAGAGAACGACAGGTACAATAAGCACCCTTTCCATCCTCCACAGACGTCTTATTTCCTGGGTGAGTTCTGTTTACTTGCTAATTTTTTCAGTGCATGTGTTTCGTACATTGTGAGTGTTTGGAATTGCTATGTCTATAATGTATGTGATTTTATTGTGTTTGTCAATGAGTGTGATGTCTGGTCTGTTGTGGTAAATTGTTTTATCTGCAATTATGGTTCTGTCGTAGTACATTTTGTGCGTGTTGTTTTCCAATACTGTTTGTGGAATATACTTGTAGTATGGTTCGTGAATGTCTACCAAGTTGTGTTTGTTTGCAAGCTCTTGGTGTATTATATTTGCTACTTGATTGTGTCTGTGTATTATAAATAATCTATCTGTGTCAAGAGCTTGCACCCAGATGTAATGTGTTGTATAGTTTCTGGCATGATGTGATAGTTTCTGCATGTGTCATTTGTGAGTGTTGTATCTTTGAATATGTGTTTTCTGTAGTATTTAGTATTTATTTATTTATTATTTTTATTATTGTTATTATTATCAACACGTTTCGATTATACATAGATATATTGAATTTTTATCTCAAGGAGTAGTTCATTTTGTCCTGTCATTTATCCATGTTTCGGCCATGGTAAGATTTTTGCTTGTCGTTTAATTTATTCGTGACGCTGTACTAATTAAAGCATTCATTAAATCGGTGATTTGTATTTAGTTGTATTCTATATAATAAGAAATATCAAGTGCTTTTACATAGTGTACTTTTATGACGTTAATATTTTAAAATTTATTTTAATTATTTACTGACGAATAAGGATTTAATAATAGGACTGATTGAAGACAGTTGGCCTGTAGTATTTGTAATTTGCATAAGTCAGATTTTTATTCGTTTCTGTAAATTATTGTTTCTTGGCGGCAATTTTATAATTTCACAAGTATACATTTTCAGTTCGTTTGTGTGTATTCCTATCTATCTGTTATTCGTTAATATCGCGAATGAAGTCAGTCGGGTGACCGGAACATCTGTAGACGCGTGTACTATACAAGGTTAGGAAAGTACAGTACTAGAATTCAAGCCAGGTATGGAAAGCTTAGCGGACAGAAATCCCGATTAGCGGTATTTCAGTCCGAGACAGAAAAAATACAGTAATTAAATAAATAAATTATTTATTTTAAGCGAGAATTATCTGTGGATTCGAACGAATTGATTCATTTTTTCTATTTCTTAAAAATACTTACTTTTTGGTCTGACATTTTATTTTTAATAAGTTCCTAATTGAGTAGAGCTTATTAAGAATTTCCTATTACACTCCGCTTAAATAGAGTTAAAGACTAACAACATGTTATGAGGATAGACATACTGTACAAGCATATTTAAGGGTATCTCGAATGGTTATAGTAGATTTTATACAAACATGAATATGTGTTGTCCTAGCTGGACCCATACCTATTACATGTGTTTGAAAAAAAAAAAAAACATATTTAAGTACAAAACTAAATGTTATATATTTTATATTATATATAAAAAATACAAAAAATGTAAATAATAATTTAAAATTTCCACTGTAAAAATTTCACAATTTGCGAATTTTTACCAAATTTTAATTTTATGTTATTCGTGGAATTATTTAATCTGACAGACGATATTAATGCAGTTATATAAAGCAGTGTCTTAAAAGTGGGTTATGTTTACTAATTAACGTAACGATGAGATAAATATTTGTGTAATGGCAAAAATCCATTATGCATTGCACTTATTAAAACATTGTGCAATTTAATTTAAGAATGATGCATCCAAAATTACGTCCTTTGTAGTGATATAATTAGCTGTAATACATGTAACGAGATGTAGAATTTTATAGTTAATGCCACGATGTATCGAGAAATTAAATGGATACTCTTAATACACGCAAATAATATAAATCAGCTATCGATTAATGTAAATTAACAAATGAATTCTTCTGTAAAAAATCAATTACTTAAAATATCGTGTTATGAGTCCATTTTTGACTATTTTTATATACATTTTTTTAAACGGCGTAACGAAAGTGTCGGTAAGTCGCGCGTGTAGGAGACGGTGTTTACGCAATAATACAATCATTATATAACAATTGATTTCCGAATAAAAACATCTAATATAAAAAGTTTTGCCAAGAGAAAATTTATGACAATTTAAACGACGATGGAAACTTTTTCAGAAGTGCTATTTTAGTAAAGAGAAGCTTAGTGCTTGTAAGCGGCACACAAAAGACTTTTGTCTGTATTATGGTTTTCTAAATTTCGACTCTAAACGTCAAGTTTGTCTTTATAATAAGTATAAGAATAATTTTGATCGTTGTGTGAATTGTCGTAAACTTTTACTTGGCAAAAATTTTATTTCTTAGACGTTTTTTTAAATTTAAATATTTGTTCATTCTGGTCTGCCACGTCTATTTTTTTTGTGAAAAAACGTTTAATGATTCCTACGAACAAAACCACGCGTATACAAATACAGCACTAAAATACGTTGAAGAGATAAACTCACTCCTGAATATTGATAAAAGCATCTTACAATTAAAGTTGTCCTCTGGTTCCGGTATTTCATACGAAAAAAAAGTTTTAAGTTTTCAATGTGAATTATAATACTTTAATAGATGCCAGTTTTCCATAGAAAAACTTTCCTGGAAGCTTTTATTTCTCTCTTGTATCTTGTA